GGGGAGGACCCGAGGCAGTTTTGATTCCGTCCATAGCACAAGCTGCTTCACGCAGTAGTTGTACTGTGAAAGAACAACAGTGACATAGACTTTAATAATGATCATTTTAAACTGGTTATTGACAATTTTTTAATGTAGAGCAAATAGACTTGGAGAATCTGGTCACGGCCAGTGTCAGTGACCTCACTTTTGTGGGAACAGGTCATTTTCTAATCTGCACTTGAGCTCAGAGCCCATGCAGTATCTTAAATTGCTTCATTGCACTTAGTCTCAAGGATGAGATTTGCTTGCGCATCTTTAAAAAAGGCCCTAGATATGGAGCATACAGCAGGCATTCGACAGGCCTTTGTTGACTTGAAGAGCGGCACCATTCTGGGAGGTTATAACAGGTTTTCTTTCCTGAGGCTTACGAGTCATTGAGTTGAGCGTGAAAGCATGAAAAGTGTTGTAGCACAATCAAATACATCCTAATGTGAGAAAAGCTATTTCAACTCAATCACCCCCAGGCTCAGCCTCAGAGACCTCCCCCCAAAATGTTCTGCTGACAGTCTCTCCAGCCCCTCCATCAGGAATCCAGGTGCTCTCCCTGAGTTTCAGTGCAAAGAGGGAGTGGGTGATGAGCACGGAGTGGCCTGGGACCACACTGGCATCTGTGCATAGGATTATGGAGGACCCTGTCCAATGACCTAAACTCAGACACTCAGTGAGTAATACCTTCAGGGAATGAGATTCCTAGCCCAGCAGCTCAGGGTCTGAGTGGAACTAACTTGAAGATGTTCGCAGACGTATTTCTTCTCTCATAACTAAAGTCTGGGGGGAGGGGTTGTATAGCTTCATTCCAGAACAAACTGGTGTGTTTCTAGCATGCACGGGATGGCAGTTCGTGTTCCTGGGGGGCCAAGAGGAAGGAGAGGGGTTCAAGTGGCGATCTCTAAGTCAGCCGTTAATGTTACCAAATCAGAAGAAGGGTTGGGATTTTTCTGGATAATGAAATGTGAGCAGCCAGTGTTTGAAAGACCCTCCCAGAAGACTCTGATAAATGAGAAAGTAGATGCTTGGTAGACAGGTGAGATGCATGCTTATGTCTATCAAATGCTAGTAATTATGCAAGGCCTGGTAGGACCTGATTGACTTCACCATGGGCAGTACCCTTGATTTGGAGACTGGTTAGAGAACACTAGCTTTCATTGAGGGGATGGAAAATAAGCTCAAGTAAATTATTTAATTGCACAAATCTGAGATGGAGTATAGTTTTCTGTTTTATTTACTCCTGTTAGAATTTGTAACGGGAAGGAAACACTTTTTTAACCTAGGGTGATTTGCTTTCTGTAGGAAGGCTAGGAGAGTGTGTCTCTGTTGGAAGAGAGTTCTAATACGCGGCATATTGAACAACTGACAACCAGTGATTGCTGCTACTCCACACTGCTGATGGAGCTGCAAGGATTAGGCTCACCGCCAGCATTTGAAGAGCTGTTCCCACACTGCCTCTGGGTCTATGTTAGCACCACTTTGAAACATTTCTGTTGTTTTTCCGAAAGGCCTAAGTCATCACCCTGAGCTGCCTGCCCAGCCACCTCGTACTCCTCGGCACGTCATGGTCCCCACATCCTTTCAGTGGCTTTATTTCTAAGCGTTCCTGGGATGTTTTTACCAACTTAATCAATCACCTCTTCAGTCAGCCAAGCTAGGGGCACATCAGGCTACTCGAGTGGATGTCTGTTTCCTAGTGTCAAGATTCAGATTTAGTTGTAGCGCTCTGACGCAGAGTGAGGAGAGCTGATTGGGTTCTTCACCCTCGTTTCTTTCTGCTCTCCAGAAACGGACAGGTTTAGTCAAATAATTCTCCTTTTTCTTTCTTCAAAAGAAATGGGAGTTGGAGGAAACTAGAGTACAGCTTAATTTTGTTATTTTTGGGGTTTTTTGTTTTTTGTTTTTGTTTTTTGAGATGGGGTCTTGCTATGTAGCCCTGGCTGGCCTCAAACTCACAGAGATCCTCCTGCCTCTGCCTCCATGAGGTTTTAAAACTTTTAAGATGTTGAAATCACTTGATATTCTTCTCTCTCTCTCTCTCTCTCTCTCTCCCTTCTTCCCTCTGTCCCTCTGTCCCTCCATCCTTCCCTGCCTCCCCAAGGAGGGTGTGTGTGTATGTGGTGTGTAGTGTTAGCTGCTCACCTCTCTCACTCTGCCTTGCTCCTTTGAGGCAGTTTAAACTTGGAACTCATTAGCTGGCAGCCAGCAAGCTAGAGGCATCCTCCTGTCTCCACTCCCAACCCCTTCCCAGAAGCTCTGGGGTTAGTAATGAATGGGACTGTACCCGGCTTTGTGTGGGTGCTAAGATCCACACCCCAGTCTTCACACTAACACAGCAAGCATTCTTAACCAAGCACTCATCTCTCCCACCCAACCCCTGATTTCCCACCACCCGAGTGTATACTGCTCTCTCTGTGAGCATATTTCCCTCTACAATATAAACCTAGACTGAAGAGGAGCTGCTGGACCGACTCCACAGCCTTCCCAAGCTTTCAGTAAAGCTTGAGTTATGCTCTCTATCAAGATGCACAGTGATTACCTTATTACTCATATCAGAAGCCCACATCCTTTAACACCACAGGGCAAGTCAAAAGGATAACCTCTTTCTTCTACAAGGCAAAGGCACTTGGTCAAAGCTTAAACCATAATGTCGAGTGCAAAGAAGTTGGAATTCCAGATACCCGGTTGTAATTGTTTTTATTTTGTGTGTCTCTTTCCATTAGTAGAAATGGCATTACTAGTGTATTCCTACATCATAGGGTTGTTGTGAAATCAATGTACTGTATACCTTACAAAACATTTTAAGCAAATGAAAAATGTAAAGCTTGTCTGTTTGAAGATGACAGGTATAGGCAACATTGAGATGTGCCACCTGTCCGCCGCTTAAGGCCTCAAGAGCACCTTCCTCAGCTAAAGAGAGTCAACCTCCACATCCCCCAGTTTGAGTGCATTCAGTGAGGGAGCCTGTCTGACTGGCTGATTGGAAAGCTCAGAGGCAGGGGCCAACCCCTTAAGTGGAGATAATCCCAAAGGCCCATTCCAGGCCTTCCCCAGATGAGGACCTGCTGGGGAAGCCACTGCTGTGACTGTATGGGTTCAACTTCTCCCTCTATCCAGTCTACTTCCCCTGGTCACCTCGCAGGTCCAGCCCCCAAGAGCAACTCCTACACAAACGTCAGCTTCCCGGGGCAGAGGAACTCAGATTGTGACAAGCAGAATTATTTGAGTTGATGTGTCCTAGTTGGTTGTCATAGCAATTACATAGCTAACAGATAACATTACACCCAGAATTCTATATTTCAGTCTTCACATCAATAGCTTAACCTAGCAGAGGGAAGACGTCCCTATCTAGTGAGGAAAGCAAGACCCTGACCTCAAGGTGGCACCTACATAAATCACAGTGGGCAGAGGCAACAGCTAACCCCTTCCATCAAAGAGAAGGATCATGGACCAGGTACCTGCAGGGAGCCCTAGTATTTAGAAGTCATTTCATTCCATGGTAGTAAAGACATACCCACCCAAAGTATTCCAAGTTGCCAATCCTTTTAAGTAAGCAGTTTCAGCTTGCCCCTGGTCTTCCACAATGATGCAATCCTTTTGCCATAAGTTATGATCCCTTAATCTTGAGGATTTCATGGTTGACTAGACTTGAATCTTGGCACACTGTGTACTAAACATCCTGGGATAAGTATGCTCAGACCGGTGTGGGAGCCCGTGAAGAGAGCGGCCAGCTGTGGAGAAGTGGGGTGGCAGAAAGATTGACCTCTAGGCTGTCTTGAAGGATGATGGGGGATTTTCTGAGTGACTAAGGTCATTCTACACAGGCGGAATGGCCTGAGCAAAGGTTATTAAATGCGAGCACATTTAGTAGGGGCATCACAAGAATCGGTGTGAGTAGAGAAAAGGGGCAGGTGGCAGACAGAGATGGCATCAGAAAGGCTGGCAGGGATGGGACTTTGGACCTGCCAATGAGGAGAACTGACTCCATCCTAAGGGGTGTGCTGCCACTGAAGAGCTAAGGGTGGGCGGCACTGGACGGTGAGCAATGGTGAAAGGAACACCACTGGCGGCAGAGAGAGATTGACATCGAGGAGACTGGTCAGTAGACAATGGCTTATAACTCCAGGTCCAGGGAACCCAACACCCTTTTCCAGCCTCTACAGACAGCAGGTGTGCATGTGGTACGTTATGTGGAAGCAAAACACCCATATGCATAAGATAATAGCAAGTAAATCTATTTTACAACTCAAGGTGGGTAAGCTTAAAAGAGGTTTCATTTCATAGATTAAGGGTAGAAAATCAAAAGAGCGGGTGTGAAATAAGGACTGCATATCAAGTCAGAACTTTTTTTTTCCTTACCTGACCCGTGTTTGTGACACCTGTATACTTTCATGACTGATACAGACTTTACAACAATCACGACCTTTAATGTGTGGCATTTTCTGGAAATGCCTATTTCACTGTATTGACATTTTAGTGTTACACACTTACTATTTGGTTTTTCCCAATGCCCATTTTCGTGATGTCTTCCACCAATCATTTGCAGGGCTTATGAAACCACAGACTCAACAACCTTCATTCTATCAAATATTGGCTTTGTGTGTGTGTGTGTGTGTGTGTGTGTGTGTGTGTGTGTGTGTGTGTGTGGTGTTCAAACACATCAAATTCCATGCTAAAGTTCATTAGTAGGGAGGCATGGTAGCACATGCCTTTAATCTCACCACTGAGAAGGCAGAAGTAGGTGGATCTCTGTGAGTTTGAGGCCAGCCTGGTCTACATAGCAAGTTCCAGGACAGCCATGACCACACATAGTGAGACACTGTCTTTAAAAAAATCATAACTAAATATCACTTGTATCCATACATTTTAGCAAAATATAGGTTGATGCAAAGTATCATAAAGTTTATAACACTCAATACATGCTTAATCAACTAATGTAGTTTGCTTGGATTGTTTCCCACTAACTTAAGAACTACAAGAAGCTGTTGAGGAGGTTCTGCCAACCCTGAAAAAGGATGGAGTGTCCGTCTTTTACGTAAGCAGAACTTCTAACACAAATGGCGTGGACACACTACTGGACAAAGTGGACGGAGTGTCGGCAGAAGCTACTCCGGAGTCGTGGAGGTCTGAAGTCACTTTCGCCACACCTGCCGTATACATTTACACCTCGGGTACCACAGGTAAATAAGAGAGGATTTCCAAGACACAGACCTGTCCTGGAAGAGCTAACCGCCCACCTGGCCTTTTAAATATTCTGTTTCCCTAGCAAAACTTATCAGAGAACTAATGCTTCAGGGTACTGAGATATTTCCCCATGAAAACTGACCTTATGTTATTACACATGATCTCATTTGCTTTTCCCCAGCTCTGTGCACACCTACTCAGTTGCTATAAAACATATAAACAGTTCTTCAATAACTCCAAAAGTAGTTGAGATGATGGATACAATTTGATCCTGAGTGGGCTGTTAGAAATTTTTAATGCTTATTGTATTTTGACCCTTTTATATCTAGAGTCTGTCTCTAATATGTAATTGATATAAATGGGACATACCAGAGGACAGCTATGGGGTGATATTTACATAAATGATGGACTGATTTCTCCCATACAGTACTGATGTAGAGTGAGCCTCGCACAGGTCCTAAAACACTATGTGTCACTGGGAGCCTTCACTGTGCGCTGGCGCGTTATGAGCTGTTGAAGAAGCATTGCAGGAGCTGCTGCTTGGAACAAGCAGTGTCCCATGTCACTCTAACCAGCATTCTCCGGGGGACTCAAAGACATTACTCACTCAGCTCCCTCCTGCCCTTGCATCTGCCCATTTCACAGACTCAGAAACTTATAAAGACATTAAGGACTTCCCAGGACAAGAAGTCAAGTGTCAAGACTCACCTTGTGGGCTAACTCCAGGCTCATACAATTACGATGGTAACACCCCTGGCCTAACAATGTAATAAACATTCAGCCTCTGCCTACCAAAAGACAGGGAAAGTGTTACCAAGGTGTAGTAAGCTGACGTCTCCAGGATATGTGAGAAAAGAAGGCAGGAAGCCAGCCCCACATGTTGACAGTAATGAGCATTGTTGTTATTGTGAGGAAATTAAATTATGAGTCACGTACACATGCTCCTTGTAATTAATCAAAGGTTAAGGTTGAAGGTTCTGTGGCGCCTGTTATCTCAACACCAGCCCACGGAATCTCTGTCCTTTGCTCCAACAGGGCCCTCGGTAGCCATCTGGTAGACTGCAGTTGCTAGGCCCCAATTTAACAGGAATGCAGGTAACCCTTCACATAAGGACTTCCACCTTCATTTCAGAAGAGTAATAGAAGGCGTAGATGAGATTACAGACCTTGATTATAGCTGGGATGAGGTGAGCTTCTGGCTAGTGATGGGGAAATCCAGTCCTAACACTGAGGAGTATGGAACTTCTTCGCAATACGTGTTTTGTCAGGGAAATGGAAAACTCGTGTTTAGGGATGTTTTCTGACACTCTGAAAATTAATTCCACAAATCAGCATTGATATCTAGTGAGAAAACAGTAAGACTGATGTCTGTTTTATTGTTTTACCTAAGGATGAAATACCTGCATATTACTCTTGTGTAAAGTAATTAAATGAGTCCATTTAAGCACTTAGAGACCAAAGGTTTTCCCTATTCCTCCAGGGAACTCGATAGCACAAAATTATGTAATTGTTACAAAATATTCTTCTTGATTGATTAGTATAAAAATCTTAAATTAGGGAAGTTCCAAAAGTACTCAAAGTCAAGAAGGTGAGTCTTTTTTTAAATGCAACTCTGAACTTTTGCTATTTAAATGATTCTTTTCTGTGGTAAATACAATTGATTTGTTGATGGTTTCTTCTATTTATTTATTTTT